ATTTTTATGGTTATATGCAACTACAGTATCCAAAGCTACAAGTAAACGTGAAAACTGACCAATTGCGCCATTGACCTCCCAATAAATTGCGCTGATGAAAGATTGCGTCATTCTTTGATTATTACAATTTGTTTTCAATTTCTATTCAAAGGAAATCAAGCTATTCAAAGATCGCCTACAGAGGAGTTTTAATAAGCCACGAATTAGTTAATATTGCAAGAACAATGCTGAACAAAAAAAAGAAGACAGAGAAAAGTGAAAATAAATAAACAAGTTTGACAGTATGGCTGCAACATACATAAAGCTGTACACGTAATTAGAATCGAAGAGCTTTGTCAACTTCACGGATGGTCAGAAAAGATAATGATAGATACGAAATCAATTCAGGGTATATTTGAACATTCTAAGTCGAAAGTTTTTGTAGTGCCGCTCAGGCATTCGTCCAGGTTTGATCCGACATTGTGGACGAAAGTACGTAAGTGTCTATTTTACCGAATATCGTTGTTGATTTTTAACCGACTTGTTATGACTTTTTTATGTGTTCGTTACGCGATTACTCCGATACTTGTGTACCGATTTCGATGTTTCTTTTTTGTTAGACCTCAATAGTAAACCCGTTTAAATTTGAAGAAACTATTCCACCTGTAAGGGCAAAGTAGGAAATGATTCCGGTTTACTGAATTTCACCCACTTTCCGTTAATCGATTCCAATAAAACTTGGCACATAGATGTCATATCAATGAAAATAAAATGTTGTAGTAACATAAGCGCTGATCTGTAGATAAAAATGACAGACAAATGACAGGAACTCCTCTACAGTGTAGCTACCTTGTTGCTATTCGGGAGGGAAAATTTCATTGAAATATCTCTAATGACAATCGAATGAAACTGATTTTTCTAATATGAAAAATGAAAAATTTGCGGAATATTTTTATTTTATTTTTTATATTAAGAGAAATTTAGTCAATCGTATCTCGGACCCCATAATTCACTAGCGCTATCTTTTGTTTTCATTATCAATAAAAAAAAAGTTGAATAAACACTTTTTATTTATTATTTATTTAAACACTTTATTGTACCACAAAGTAACTTACAAATTTTCAGAAACAATTTAAATATTTGTGTACAAAGGCGAGCTTATCCCATAAAGAGATTTCTTCCAACTAACTTTTTAATGTCGAAACACTGATTTTCGTCGAAGTATGTCAAAACATATTTTGGGTAACAGTTTGTTTACGACAGTTTTGATTTTCTTACTTTCTGATTTCAATCATTCATTGAACATAATGTATACTTTGCCTATACCGATCCCTAATTATAAATCACGACTTGGAGGCAGCGGATTATTTATAATCATATTTAGAGAATACGGTTTTTTTTGTAATATTGTATTGCATGGGACATAATACAATAGCATTTAAATATTACTTACCGAGCTGTTTAACGTATTAATTTATTGTTTTGTTTAATAATTATGTGTTTTGTTTACAAATGAATATTTTAACTCTTCGATTTCAAATTTTAATATGTAAGTTTGTTTATGATAAATAAATAAAAATAAACATTAGACAACATTACATACGTTGTTCCGATCTTAAAGTAACTAAAGTACTTGTGTTTTGGAAATCGGAAACAACGACGCTGTGCTGACGCAATGACGACACTGACTGTTCAAACACCCTGACCTGAAGAAAAATTAGTTTTTCTTCGAACGGGCATCAAACCTGGGACCCCAAAACCGATGTGTAAGCCACTTGATCTCGGTCGAAGTCAAAGTCAAAGTCAATGAATCATTTATTCCATGGGTAAATTAAATTTATGCTTGGGTAAATTAAATTTTAATATCACATTTAAGCTACTGCTCCATTCATTACGTTGCTTTCGATGAAAAGAACGAGCAAGAAACTCTAGGGATTGCACTTTTCAAATAAACTTAAATGCTATGGAATACACTTTGAATCAATTTTTTGTGGAATCTAGAGCGATGTCGTCTTTCCGTAACATCTTTATCTACAAGTAGTCTTCAATTTTGTATTATGACTTTTCAATCAAAATATTTTTAATGTAGTTTTTAAACTTAGGAAATAATAATCTTAATATATGCTCCGGAATCTTATTGTAAAAACGTATGCCCAAAAAAAAGTCGTTTACCTTGGCTAAATAAAATTGTGGTACCATGAATTTGGACTTAGCTCTAAGGTTAATATTATGGATATCTTCTTTCTTATTGAAATTAAGTTTATAATTACGGGCATATAAAATATTTCAGTAAATGTACAGTATTGCCACTGTCATGATATCAGTCTCCTGAAACTTTTCTCTGAGAGAAATCTGAGAACATAAACGGTACACAGAACGAATCGCTCGGTTTTGCAATACAAATATGGTTTGAATGTCTGCCTGAGGTCGTAAATGATGCTGACGGTGCATTTTTAAAAGAAAAAATCTTAGTATTTAGACATATGTAAAATTATTTGCCTTTCTACGTGACAACCCCTAACCCCTAACATAACATGACCCATTTTTGAAATCTCGCGGACTATCGGTAGTAAAAAACTTTTTACTATACAATTAAAATTGTCCCCATTTAGTAAAATGTCCGTGTCCCCACTTTCACTTGTTTTCGGCCAATTTCATTACCTCGAAAGGGTAAAGAGATAAATAATAGCACCAGCAGAGACAAATTTCCATGTTACCTTTACTGATAGCTATGTTTTAAGGGAAACAAGGTTGGTGGGCCAATGACAAGAGATGTATAGAAAAAAAAGCGGATATTAGCAAAAAACAGGCTATAAAAAACATTTTAAAGGTATTGACGACATTTTTTCATAGCTTGTTGAATTATAATATACAAACGTTTAAAAATACACTTTGTAATAATTGGAATTAAAAGATCTTGGCGGCGCAATTAATTTACAACTTTATGTTTTCGTACGTTACAAAAACAGTTCACACCAAAAGTTACCAAAAATTCACGGTTATACAACACAATAATCGTCAGTATTTCTAATTCTTAAACGAGGTAAAAACCCGCGTTTTAGGACATTGCAGATTTTCAAATTGCTGAATAAATGAGGAAACATTTTGCGTTTACAATGGTAAACGCAAAATGTTTACGATCTAGCGAGGTTAGAAATGTCCAAGATATTTATTTTCTTTGGTAATTAAAAAGGCCCGAAAGTAAGAAAACTAAAAAAATCTTCGAGAAAACGATTTGGTTTGGGACTTTATTTTTAACCGTCTTAAAAACAAGGATTTTACTTAGGAAGGTTGTACGTTCGCCTGTGTGTATGTTTTATGTATGCTTTCCGATTTCACCGTTAATTGTGAACCGATTTTGAAAATTCTTTTTTTGTTTGAAAGGGTATACTCTCGAGGTAGTTCCTGATGCCGACGATGCTGTTTCGGGTTCGTTTCGGATCACAAATTAAAATAATATTTTCCTCAAATAAAAGTCGACTTTTAACTTGACACAATACATGTAATCAACTTAATTAAAATCAGTGAAGTCAATTAAAAAGTTACAAATTATTTATATTGACATTTGACACGTTTGAATACGTCTCTGATGCAATCACGTGATACGACATTACTAGCGGTAGTATTTTCTTGTTCCGATAAATTTTATAAACATCAAATTAATTATCGTGGCATTAATTACCATTATAATTATCAATTATAGCTAATCAATGTTAATTATTACTTCGAACCCTGTGATCTAGTAGCTATTTAAATACCGTATTAGTTATTTATATTATACGCGGAATGACACCAATTTCGTACAGATTTAATAAAAGGCATTTTAGCTCTTCACAATTAAGTTCACTAGAGTTACATAGTTTATTGCGACCTTAGCTCTACGTATAATTTTGATAATATATTATGTAATGGATAATTTATGCGTTATAGTAAAATGTTATGAAAATATCGGATGTATATCCTTGGATAGTATCGCTCTCAAATTTATTACTGTTCACGTCCTTTACTCCTTTAAATAATAATAATAATAATTGAGCGAACCTCTATAAAGCCCCTTTGTACCCGGTATATACGGTTTAAACCAATTGCTGCAGTTTAGGTGACGACATACATAATATGCTAGAGTACGTTTGAGTGAATCTGAAAAATGTATATTATGTATGTATAATAATATAATCCTCCTATGAAAGGAAACTTTTACTTACCTCAGGGATAACTTTTGGAAGAATCAAGATGAATATATATGGCGTCTCACACCTATATGACATGGTGGAAAAATTCTTTAGTATTGTAATGATATTTTGCTACATTGCAGATATTATTTTATTTTTGAAAGTAAGTAATAATGCATTCAAAGACTTTCAAAAGGTTGTTCATCTGAGCATCATTCGATGCTCGATCGATCGACCAAGTGTGAATTTTGTTATGAAGCTCATTGAAGGGATCAATTATTATTATAAGCGTTAATTATTTATCTTTGAAGACGAAGAGACCAAATTTCAACAGCTTTATTTCATAACTTATTCCGTCGTCATAATAAAAACCAGAATAAAACAAAAAGACAAACAAAACTACAATCTCTCTGTCAGTCCGTTAGTGGCAGGTCACAACAATCCTAATGATGTAAAATTTCATCGTGTTTCTTTAGTTTAAATGTGTTTGTAGCAATTTATACGATTTTGATGTTTCTAATACAATTATCGAATGCCAAAACAATATTATTTAGACTTAGAAAAAGAAAACCGCTCGAGTCTGTAAACAATAGTCGTATGGGACTCCACTACTGCAAATCGAATTACGTAGAAATTTATTGTATAATGTACTGGCCATGGCTATAACACGTACGCAAAAACAGAAATTCATTTACAATTATCGTGAAAAAAAAAAATTAAAATATATCTAGTCTATCTAAGAATCATACGACATCCAACTTTAATGGATTTTAACAGACTGCAGGTCAGTCAGGTTTGGAATGTCGATGTACCCCAATAATGTTGAAATAGAATTTGTTGTTGTTTCAGAATGGTGCGTTCAAGCTGCCTCCTGGCGTGCTGCGCTCTGGCCGCGCTCCTCCTCGTCGTACCCGCTGCGGCTTACCCGAGGTAGTGGTACCTCATCCGTACTTTATAAATTTATCTATATGTTTCAGCAGATAAACAGGCTATTTCTATCTGCATAGCCTTTGGGAAGGCTTGGCAGGCTATGAGTTAACTGGAAGCACTGGCCTTGTTCAGTATTAATAATAATTTTGAATCATCATCGTCTACAACCCATTGTACCAGAAGACCAGAGTCTGCCATGTTGATCTAACGTGGGCTGGTGACTTCACATGTTACCTTCTACGATATTTTTTTTAAAACAAGTGACAGAAGAAACAAGTTGTGCGCCTAGTTGTAAGCTACACGCCTGTCCATAACAGTTGCAGAGCTACTCAGAGCTTTTGGTAGCAGTAGAGCTCTTTATGAAAGAATTCGTCCAGAGAAGTACTGCCACTTTACCTATGTCTGCTGCCAAGCAGTAATCCACGTAACAGTTTTGACGTTTTTGGGACTTTTTACTCGTATCTCAGTGCCCCTCAGATCCTGGCGATTTAAAGCTCTGAGCGGCACTGCAATTGTTATGGACTTGCATGTCGTTTACCGTCGTATGTCGTGGTACCATAAAAAAAGCTTTTAAGATCCTTTAATAAATAAATAAGAGACCAGAGAGGCACCGCTACAGCGCCCATCACGCAGTCACGTAAAGTTGTCATGTACCTGTATACCTGTGTACGCCAGCGCCCTTGCATGCGGATTTCATAACGAGTCTTTCTTTTACCGTTACCATCAAACATTCATTAACATACGTAACTTAGAAATACATTCTAGTAGCGGTTGAGCTCCTTGTGAAAGAGTTCGTCCAGGGTAGTATTGCCACTTTGCCTATTTCTGCCACCAAGCAGTAATGTGAGCATTACTGTGTTCCATCTGAAGGGTAGGGATGCTGGTGAAATTGCAGGCACAATGGGACTTGTCAACTTACATCTCAGAGGGCGCAGTGGTAGTGCTCCTCAGATCTTTGCGAATGAAGCTCTGAGTGGGACTGCAACTTTTACGGACAGGCGTGTAGCTTACCATCAGGTGCACGATTTGTTCATCGCTTCACTTGATATTATAAAAAATAATATGCAGTCACAGGTATTCGAATTGCCGACTTTTCCTGAAAAGTTAGCGTTCTGCCCAGTTAATGAATATACAAAAATAGGTATTGAAAAAACTGTCATTAACTTGAATACTCTTCCTTTTCTTATCGTATCGATGTCTTACAGTATACTATTGTGGCCCAGAACTCACCCATGCCTGGTGTGGGCACGCAAGGCACTATATGAGGTGGGTAAAAAGCCGGCTTTAGTACTGAGCGGTGGGGTATGCTTGCCATCGCGGTGAAAGGACACGCCAATCGGCGTAAGGTACTCGCCAGTTGTTGCCCGGGGTACGCTAGTCATATAGGAAAAGAATATAACGTCGGGCCTTTCGTGCACATAATTTTAAAATGAAACAGTAGACATACTGATAGGTAATCCCTTAAAACCCATAACATACATCTTTTCAGGAAAATAACTCCTCGCCCGTTAATTCAAATGAATTATTAATGATGGATTTCCATCTCACCTCTTTTTTTTTAACAACTAATATTTTTTAGTGTTGCCATTTCGTTTTTTTTTATTGATTGTACCCAAATCTTTATTTAAATTAAAAAAAATTATATTTAAATAAAAAAATATTTATTTAAATCTGATAGTTTAGTAATACGCATTTAGAACTAAATGATTGATTATATAGCTTTTGTTAACAACTGTTTATCTTGTTTATTTGTTTATATTATATTCAGGTAACAAAGGCCCACGATTGGACTAGGCACATTAAGCCTATGTGAATTGATCTTTTGAACAAGCTTCCACATCATACAAGGATAATGGAAATTATGAACTATCATCTTCAATTAGTAACTATCATCTTCAGAGGCTAAAGAACTTATGTAGATATTTTAATCATGTTCCAGTGCAAATAACTACTTCCGTGAAGACATTCAATACGAACCAGAAGAGATTATGGACATGCTGAACCGCCTCGGAAACCTCATCCAGATCGAACGCAAAATGGAAAAGTAAGCCGCCATTTTAAACCCGCCATCTTTGTTTCTTAATTCTGTCTTGTGTACCGTATTTCAGATTTCGTCAACTCTTCTTTGCAAACAAGTTGCATGGATCTCTTTTTAATATTAATGATTTAATTTTCACTCCGTTTCGTAATTTTTTTTTGTCTTAACACGTTCCATATACGATAATAATAAATAGTGACGATACATTAATTCTTTCGAAAAATTGTAATAATTTAATTATTAACAGTAAATGTACCAGACAACTACATCAGGGGGCCTATCATAACCTTTCAAAAACAATCATATTTCAATGTAAGCTTTTAGTAAGCTTATTATAATGTTACGCATATTCGTGCCATGATAAACCAAGTAATGTATTATTGCTAATGTGACTGAAAAGAGGGATGTAAAGGAGCAATCATCTTCTAAACTCCTACTTACAAGCTTAATTTTGTTTATTAAATGATTTTAATTCGTTGAAGAACTAAACTGATTTGTTATTGTTCAACTGCATTTTTTTCATCTACCATAGAGAGGTGAAATGTTGTGTGTTACGCATGGCAGCAAATTTGTTTTTCATCTCGTGTCTTGAAACCCTCGCTACTCTCATGATACTATTTTTGAAGTACTTGCGTCAAACAACAACTTTGCTGCCTTGCGTAAGAAATAACTATTTTATGTCAAATAATTTGTAGACTACACCATCGCCACGTCATTCAAAAGCAAAAAACCCAAAAGTTGCAATGGCAGTTGAATAAATAAATAAATAACGCACACACTCAACATAGCCCCGCACTAGGGAAACCATGTGTCGCAGGTGCCATGGACACACACATAGACAACCACAAATTACACCCAAACTCACGAGAGAAATAAATGTAGGCCATACAAATATTTCTTCCGGCCCGGGAATCGAACCTGGGACCTCTGCGTGGCAGTCCGGCATGGTAACCGTTCGGCGGAGGCAGTTAGCAGAATAGTAGCTCTATGGCTAGCCGCCGCCACTCTATCAACACACAACTAAGATCATTTAAAATTAGCAAACTTGGGCGTCTGGTCTCACTTAAGATAATTTCCTATACTATAAGTACAGTAAGTGCAAAGAAATTACCTCCGGAACGCAACAACCACCATTCTGTGACCTCTTTATCTAGCGTCTAGTGTGTTAAATGTTGTTCCTATGAGATCGTATTTTTTTCTGCAAAATTTTCAGTGAAACTTTGTGATAAATATTTTGACCTATTTGTTATCATATGAATTCATTTATGTTAATAAGATTCATGAATTTGATTACTGTTTAAGTCTCATAAGGCCGTGGATTTACAACTTTTGCCATTTAGCAAAAGTATGTATTATTGACACAGTTTTAATGCCCTTTTTGAAAAACATTTTCACCTCCATCTTACCCAAAATTAGACATGTACGTGAACTCTTTACATACTACAACTACATCAAATGATATAAAATACTCACTTGTAAAATTATACAGCCGCCTAGATTTTGAAAAGTAAATTACAGCTTACACCAAAAAAAAACACTTTAAATTACACTTGCACACAGCACCAATTTAAAAGTATTACACCAATCTTTTTTACAATATGTCGCAATAGTACAGATCATTATTCATTTTTCGTCCAACTCTGGGGACCAATTCTCGTTCGTTCGGACATTTTATCGATTTCGAACCAATGTCTTTTTCTCAATGTTTACAGTATATACCGCAAAAATCTCGACAAAAGAACTATATATGTATAACTATCTATTTATTTACAAGAATCTCGAAGACACCATAGAGTAATATGCTTCGAACAACAGACAGTTGATGTCTTAATTAGAAACATTACCGCTTTATGTCGCGAGTCCAGCCCCAGTGGCGCGAGTCGGGATTAAAACAGCCATTATCACTGTAGTTGAAAAATGTATATTTAAACACAACACGAAATATAGATGACATATTTGACAGAAGATCAATTCCTACTTACTAAGTAAAAGAAATAAGTAAATTACTTATTTATTTTTTAATTTACTCAACTTTTTATTTGTTTATTTACTCAATGCAACGCAAACAGGAGGCCTACTATGAGCTCTTAGAAGTTGGATTGCCTGTCAAATTCGTACTATGACCTCACAAAAATAATTCACTGTCCATGCAGTTTACGTTCCCCATTCGAAATCCGTTCACCTTTTCTTTCATAGCAAAATCGTATCATGACGTGCCATTTGCCATGCAAATCTGTAAAAATAAGCAATTCAAAAAAGTTACTCCGTGACTAACTTTTTTTAGATTTTGTTACATTTTTAAGAAATTTCTTTTAAGTTTTATTATATTTTCAGTTTCATAATTGTTTGTTATCTTTATAGGCTATAATAGCCAATTGTCAATAAATAAATACTATACTATGGAATTTTAATCATTTTAATAATTTTATTGACCGAAAATCGTAAAGTAACTTTTAAATAGTGCCAAATTTGTCTATAGTGCAATCAATGAAAATGTACGAATACAAGATACGTTCCAAATATGTTATCAAATTACAAACTCACCTTATTAATTTCAATAATAATGACTAGACATGGCATGTAATTTTGTCGTAATTGTAAAGTATGATTGAAAAGTTGCCGATATTACAAAACAACGTAATAAGTATAATCAACAATAAAATAAATTAAAAAATGTGATTATTCTCATTTTGAACACAATCGGTTAATAATGCTTGAACGCTCCCGGGTTAGTACATCTGTCTATTTCTTTCATATGATTTAGTATGTAGTTCCATCTCGCTCTTGTTAGATGTCAGCTAGTCAGGCAAAGACAATAATTAACGTTTAAAAAGTAAAACTCATCATCCTGCCATGCCATTCCCGTTCAACTTTATGTAGGTCATGATACGAATATAAGCAATTCAGTTTTACCACGTCAAGTGAATTGCATGGAACTTGACTGGATGCTTATAAGCTCATAGCAGGCCCCCAGGTAACAGCTTAGCAGGTATAGGCTCAAGTCACACTGGCGCAGAGTCGAAGTGTCGCGTCGCGTCCTGTCCTGTTTTTCATCTCTACCGCCAGGCGACGCGCGTCGGCACGCGACGCCCCGATCACAGTGTGGTTTTGGGCGCCGTGAGGCGTCAGACGCCTCACGGCGCCCAAGTGACGTCGACGCGCGAAGCCGCTCGAATGCTACCAAGCGTCATCACCGCTCGATTCCATATTTGCAAAACACAAATTTGTATCTTAATAACTGGAAAATATAAATGAATATGCTATAGGCGAAAAACATGACGCGTCGCGACGCTTCGACTCTGCGCCAGTGTGAGTTGAGCCTTATACACATGATAACAAGTTTACATATAATACTCTATTTAAATAGCTATAACTGTGTGAAAGTGATATTCATGTTTAATCTAAATAATTTTTAATTCTAATAATGTATTTGTTTATTTTATTTTATTTATTTATTTATTCGTGAAAACCTGACAGCTTCAACCATTTAATAAAAACAGGGAATGTGTGTAATTATCTCTCTGTTGTCGTATTATTTAGTCTCTGGAGATACTAAGTTGAAAGTTTTTTAAAATCTCTACTTGTCTAGTTCCGTTTTTATCGATTATATTCAAAACGTATTCTATAAAGTTTTTTACACTTGAAAGATTTAACAAGCCTTATTTAACTAAATTAACTGTTAACAGGCTAACTAGTGAAACTAATCGTAGTTTTAGGGCGCTTTCAAGTAAGTAGCAGTAGAGCTTCTTGTGAAAGAGTTTGTCTAGGATAGTACTGCCACCTTAGCTATTTCTGCCGCCAAATAGTAATGTGAGCATTACTGCATTCCGGCTTAGAAGGGCAAGGGTGCTGATGAAAATACAGGCACTTGGGACTTATCAATCTCATGTCTCATGTCTCAGGGTGACGGGCGCAGTGGCAGTGCCCCTAAGATCTTTGCGGTTTAAAGCTCTGAGTCGCACTGCAACTGTTATGGATAGCAGTGTCGCTTACCGTCAGGCGCACGACTTGTTCGTCTCGTCACGTGATATTGTAAAATATGAAAATTAGTAGTTGTGCGCATCTATAAGCGTTTAACTTGAAAGCGCCCTTAATGTGAAAATATCTTTCTGAAAAGCCAAATTTTTGCATACCTGTCTTGTTTGCATATGACTTAGTCTGCATCATACATTTGTACTGCCTTCGCCCTCGTTGCATATTGAGCTCTAAGGAACGATTTGTGAGGTTCTAATTTTAAAAACTGGTTAAATTCAACGTTCGCCGTATTTTTTTACAAATCAAAGTAATGTGACTTTTGTTCTATGAAACGAGACCTGGCCCCAGGAACCAAATGATGCATTCCAACAAACTACATTTTCTTTTATTTTTCAATATTTTTAGTAGTTTGTTGTACTGTGTATTTTAAATGTTTTTCTCTCTTTACAGCTTTAAAGACGACATGATCACTAGGTACGTCTTTGAGGTCGTACTAAATTTTTTGGAGTGGCCTTTTTATTACTTGATCTTTTCTTGCATGTTATGTGTGGATTATGTCTAAAACTAAATTATAATCTACAAAGCTTACGTCTTACTTACTTATTAAAATATTTTTGCTATTGTAACATGAAAATAGAATAAAATACGCAGTAGCTATGTTAAGGCCCCCATATGCAGACGATTTCTCGTTTCGATCGATCGTCACGACAATTCTATCGATCCGTCGCTACTCCATTAACGAACGTCAATCGTTAACGAAGTATACATACATACTATCGATTCGTCGTTTCGTTCAGTCTAAAACGAAGGATCGCAAAGACAAATCGTCCCGTACATGGGAGCCTTTATAAATCTGCCGTCCACTAACCAAAACGCGGCTAAGTGACGACTGGACAAATATCCGTTTTAAATAGCAAAAAATAGAGCACGAAATTCTCTTTTAAAGAAAGAAGAAGAAGAATTAAATTAGCTAACCTAACCTAACGACGCATAGCTGAAATATCATTATACGATTTCAATATTCTAAAACTGGGTTATGTTTTTTTATGGATATCTCAAAGATTATTTTGTCTTTAACCGCGTTATTGTTAGCGGTCGGCAGATATCAAATCTTTTATGTAGCAAAGAATAATATCGCATAACATGAACTAACTTGACTGAATGTAATCATTTTTTGACGTTCCTACCTTAGAATAATAACGCATAGAATGATAGTTTCATATCAAACGAACTGTGTCACAAGTGAGGCAAAAATCAAATTCATGTAGGCTAGTTTTAGTAGTAGGTTAATTTTCGGTTTTAGCGATTATTTATATAAAAATACAAGTTGAAACGCGTTAGTTCTTTGTGGAATGTGATGTTAGTATCTATTTTATGTTTGTCTGACGTATTTTTACACTCATTTACTGCACATTTCGTTATTTTTAGCTAAAATTCTTGAGCTGTTCGCGGTGCAAGTTGACCTTGAGCACTGACGGCCCGCCCGCTCGTGTAGGCCCATTGGGAGCGCTTCAATTTGCCTCACTTAGCGTGTGCGGACTAGGTTTCTATGCGTTATTATTCTAAGGTTCCTACATTATTATGTGCTTGTAATAATAACTATGTAATAACATAAGTAACATAAAACATAAGTATGCTAAGAATAAATGTTTTGGCTTGAAAAGGTACTTTTGTAGAGTTATAATATGAAATTAAACAAATTCTGAAGCTGTTAAAAATGCCAAAATCTTCAATGCAATGGTCAAATGAAACAATTTAAAACTTTTTGTATTCATATGTGAAATTTTAGGGTGTGCGCATGTCTTGTTTTGCTTTCTGTCAAATTGCATGACGCCTTCAAATTGTTTGAGGCTTGTTTGAATTCATAACCGAGCAGAGTAGAGATATTATATCAACTGGCTGTATGGCTTTATACTTTTGCCTTTCCTTAACGGAAAGAATTACAAAGAAATGTTTATTTTTCTATAGTTTCAAAATGGCCATCGTAGAGATATCAAGATTTTTTGATATCAAGATTATTGGAGAAAAATTACCTTCTAAGATCTGGCAGTATGGCTAATAACACGCCTTAGCCTGTCCAGAAGGGCGAAAAATTTTACTTCTATTTACTACTTAATAGAAGAGCTTTTATATATTCCTAAATGTTTTTTGTATAAAAAAAATTTTGACGCCACGCAAGTTACAATAACTAAGTAGAGTAGCCTGGTATAAGAAGACGCATTTAAGGTTTAAGGTGGTGTAAAATGAAATCAAAAAGTGTTAGATAATCAACAAGTATTGTTCTTTTACACAGTGACACGCAAAGTAATCATAAATAACAGTGTGATTGTAATTAATAAAATTGTACAAAATGGGATTTGCGGACTCTTACACTGTAGGTACTATAGGGTAAGAGTACGTATATGCATCGTCAAGAGTACGCAACCCCTTTCTCTCTTGGCATCCTGGGCACTTCTATAAATCTTTCAGGTTATGACGTTTTTTGTATTTTTTGTCTCGTTTTTGGTCTTAGTTTTTGTAATAATTAACTAATATAAAAAATAGTGAAAGAGTACGTGCGGACTCTTGCAACACATCTAGTGCGTACTCTTACACACTTCACCCATTTCAGAATAAAATTACTACCTACTAACCCCATACGTTGCAAGAGACCAGAATCATTTGTAGTTTGACCTCTAGATAAGTTTTTAAGCGATTTGGTACAAAATCAGGTTTCAAAACATGTTTCATTTAGTTTTTGTCAAAACTTAAAAAGGGTTTTAAGCGTACGCGATATGACCTTGAGTTTATCAATCAAGAGCTTAAGGTCGCAGCTCTTGGTTTACCAGAATATGTGCATTGTGAATCCACCACGCTTAGACCAGGCTACCCTATTATAAATACAACCAATGGGTTGCCGAAACACAGCTCTTCGCCCCTCCGGTTTGGTGTTGGACAATTGTCCTTATGAGAAGACGATTTATGAAATTAAACACAAACCGTGTGTTTAAATATTTAGACTAGTGATTTAAAGTTTTCTTGAAAATTTCTTTTGGCTGGCCGACGTTGTTCATAGAATTCTTAAATTATCTATATGCTCTAAGCTGATTCTGTCGTCAAACTCAACAGAAAAGCATTTTTTATTGAACGCTTCCAAATTGAAAACACGTCAGTTTATAAACTACCTGTGTACGCTATCGCTAACTAAGAATAGACACCTAAATGTGATATGAGGTCAGATGGGATAAGAGGAACATTATTGGAACTTCATTTGGAATCAAATGTTTTGAGTTCTAGATAGAACAGGTAAAGACTTTTTAAGTTTATTGAATGTTACGATGTTTGACCACCATGACTTTAAATTATCTTTGTAAAATTACTCCACTAGTTTGTAATAACTTATTAATACAAAGATCGAACACTAAGAAAAAATTTCTTCGATCCAGCTGGATTCGAACCAACGTTTTCTAGCTAATAGTGCCAAATGCTAAGCCACGGAACGAACTAGCCGACCTTGCGAATTTTTCTATGTGCTTGTTGCAGATCTTTCTTTTTCGTTTTTAACGACTGAGGTAAAGTCCTATTAGAATTTTGAAGTACACTAGACTTGCCTTTGTTTATCAACTTTAAAACATGGTTAAAATGGTATGTTTTAACAATCATTACGCTGAATTTAATACTTACGATGTATTTGCCGAAACTGCATGTATGTGCAAATTGTGCTAGCGTTTTTCTTCCCCTAAAAGATGGGGTAAGGGGAACAGTCCCATATCTTTCTACATAAGTTTTGTTTATAGTGCCCCTCCCTAGTTAAGCTACATTGTTCAAACATTTATTCAAAGATCTGCCCTAGCACATTACCTATGGTAATGAAGCCACTTCGTGTGTTTTGTCTTTGTTTGTGTCCTATTTTGTTCTTGTGTGCAACAGAGAGTTCTATTTTGTCGTTGTACATACGATATGGACAAACATGACTAACTGCGCTCTAAAGCGCACTCCCATAAGGGCACTATGACCTGTGCGAGCGAGCTTGTCAGGTAAGCTAAGTCAGGTCCTAACCCCGGATCAGCATGTTTGCACGTCCTTCATCCGGTTCTCTGTAAGGCTAGTTGCCTTAGGTGAGCCGCCCCGGATGCACTTACAGCACCTTCCCTATTTTCCAGATAGGTACCGGAGCTTCCTTACCCTTACGGGATAAGGGGAAAAGTACATAGTATTTCTTAAACAGGTAGTATAATATTCATATACTTTGACATCTCAAGACTTCATAAGTATCAAATGTATTTTTTCCGCCATTTAAACTTGGCGCATCGCGGACGTAGCGACATCTCTTTACAATCGTTTAAACTAATGTGTTAGTCTGTTTTTCGACTGAGAGACTATAGTGCTAAACTCTTTAGATTCTGACTTAAGGCTTCCAGTCCCTCTTACCTCACCTAACCATACTTACCTATTAAATTAATAAATAAGTAAATTGCGCATTTTTAATTCAATACCTACTTATCTGACGAAACTGTCATTTTTTACAGCGAGAAACGAGCTCTAGACCTCGGGCTGAACCGTGGATACTCCGGCGCCCTACAAGCCAAACACCTGATGGGACTAGCAGCTGCCAACTACGCAGGGGGTCCTGGCAGGAGGAGGAGAGATGCCCAATAAACGCATTTCAAACCTACAATCCGAATTCGAAAAGATTAAAAATGTTAAGGCCATTGTTTGAGCAAGACATCTAAAAAGCTAAATCCAGATTCAGTCTAAACACTTTAAATTGTATTAAGTTGTGAGAGTTCATCGTTACCTGGACGAATAAACTAAAGCCAATTGAGAACAGAGCCTCCGCGCTACAGCCAGCCCGGGCGCCAGTTTTTTGTGGTCTACAAAATTTATCGTGAAAATGTAAGATTTAAACTACAGAAACAGAGAAGCTAATATTACTCTCTGTGTAATTCTTTACCCCACTAGACATTACACTGTTACTGGTTAAGGGTGTCTATCTACGAAACTACAAAAAGAATAAGAGATGGTCTTTGATTTTGATCTTTCTAAATTCGGTCGTATTACAATAGCTACCTATACCGTCAAGTCTTATAACGTCATCAATGAATTGGCTGGCCCAGTACATAATATGTACAAAGAAAAGTATTCCAATATGCATAATATGCTTGGAATTATAAGAAATTAAAAAAATACTAGCGTATTAAAGGAGTCGTGCATGTATTCGATACGCAAACAATTTATTTATGAATATAATAGGAAAGTCGTTAGATCGAACTATGTAAAGAACGTTATATCGTCCCAAACAACTTTAACTTTCTTCTAATTAGAATAAAATTAAGTAAAATATTCATTTGTACGAAATATAAATTGCAATAAAATAACTTATTGACTTTTCTCTTATTGACGGAACTATAGAATTTTACAAAATTTAGTCTCGTGGTATGCTTCACATTCTTTCTAAAAAAATTCTCTAGACGTAGTTTGTCTATTTCAATGCTGAAAACTTATCTATACCTAAAACAGTATTTCTCAACCAGTATTATATTCAATACCTTACTTCTATTTCTGACTATCAATGTATTCTATTCCGGTTCGAGGATTTAAAATACTTGCATTAGTATATTTCGCTATCTTGAAAACGCTTAACTAAAAGTAAATTAGATATTTTAATATTAATCGTAAGTGAATCACAGCTATTTAGTTTAATAAACGTTTAAAATAAATGTCTGTAAAAGTGGTTTAATATTACTTCCATTTACTTACATAGAAAATAATTAAATAAGAGATTAAGTACATTACCTCCTGTCTAGAGTTTATTGTTAAAAAAAATAAACGGATTCATATTTACACAATATTTTGTTTTACATCTTTACCACAAAATATTCTTATTCATCGAATCACAGCTTAACAAAAACTTGACGATTAGCCTACAGCGGCATCTATGAAGCATTGGAGAAACTATTTGAAGTACCAACAAGAGGCGTAGTTTATGTTCACTAGCTAGGACAAAATAGCGCCATCTGTTGCGCTATTAAGTTATTACTAGACTGATCATATTTTGACGTTGTTTTCAAAATTGACAATGGAAACCATTGACCTGCTAAGCAAAAGATTTTATTCTTTTGATGTACCTGGTAATTGCCGACAGTGTTAACAGATGGCACTGCCATGTTCATTTCATATTTTGGTCATTATAACTCGTCGAAAATGGTTAGATGCTTTCCGAACACACAGGATAGTAAGATCATAATTTTGTCATTAGAGACATTGCTTCCGGTTTATTTCCAAATCGCAACGTTGTTCACTACATTCAAATACTTAAGTTTTCTCTTTCTCTCGCGCTACATTAAAATAGGTACGACAGAAAAAATGGTTTTAATACTTTTTAAACACGTATATCTGAGAAACTGCACTTATTTTGCATATTTGTAAATCAGTCTAAAATAATAATTTTATAATTTGCTGTCTAGCGGATATGTTGATTAATGGCTTTACTTTATAAACAGTAATTTTACACTTAACTTCACAATCCCGTATGGTCTAGTGGCTAGGATACCTGGCTTTCACCCAGGAGGCTCGGGTTCGATTCCCGGTACGGGAAAGCTTCAATCATTTTGTTTACATTTTGGTTTTTTAAATCGAAACTTATTAGCCGAGTAATAAAAATATTAATGGAAATAAATAGTAAACAAAAAAGTAATAAGTAAATACTCGGGTTCGATTCCCGGTACGGGAAAGCTTCAATCGTTTTGTTTACATTTTTGTTTTTTAAATCGAAACTTATTAGCGGAGTAATAATAATATTAGTGGAAATAAATAGTAAATAAAAAAGTAATAAGTAAATTGGTAATTTTCAGGTAACGTGAAATATTCTTAAATATTTCACGATGATATATCATTGTTCGAGTAATTAAATAGTAAAAATTGTCACCAAAATTGAGTACAAAAAACTTAGCTGAAAATTACTGAAATCACCTTTTACCAAGTGGCCTAAGTAATAGGTAGGAGATTTAAAAGACTTAGTTGTGCGTATTGTATTGTATTTTTCAATGAGTAATAAAATAATTAAATACAATCAATATTCAATGTATATTTTGCTAATAATCCTTGTCAACAAACTTTTTTTAAATTAATTTTCACCCATTTATTTGGGTAGGCACAATAAAATATTTAAATTTTCTTCATAAATATTTTGACCAAAGCCAAACAAACGCTACAAAACAAAAATCCAGAGAGATACAATAGGATAGGCCTAGTGCCAAATTACCAAAATTTTTGTTTTATAAAAGTTTGTGACACGGTTGCAATACCTATAAGCCGATGTAACCTATCAGGAAGCAGTAGAGTTTATTAGTAGCGTCACATTTGATAGTAGAAATATCCAAGAATTATCAAAACACGACGTTCTTCTTTAGAATTTTTTTATAGTCCCTTGTACAAAACTCTCATTATATTTAATTTTTTAGTTCAGTAGCCAGTACATAGACAATAAAATTTTGATTGAGAACTAAAAAGAGGCTCTATGTGATACTGGTTTATGAAATGGAGTCGAAAAAATTGAATTTTACTCTTTGCCTCTAATGTTTCTCACACCCATTTAAAAACCTAACTGGTTACCTACAACCAACTTAAAAGGAAACCTATTTCATTCTTTGCTTTTAATATTGCTCATATGCATCTATCCACCTAACCAGTTACCTACACACCTACAATAACAGGTAAAAAGTACTGTCAACAAAGGTGGCATGAACGAATGAGGCACCAACTTCCACCAACACAACCTGACCTTCAATGCAGCGAGCCTCTTCTGAAAATTCAAAACAAATATACGCTTCCCGCGAGGTGGAGAGGCTCAAGGCAGTTTGGTCCTCATAGAATAAATGTGTATTCACATGAGCGCTCAGGTTTTTCAACATGGTCGATCTAGTATTACACATTTTAATGCTTTTTAGGGCTGAAGGGTAACTGACACAATGAATTGACGGGCTTAAAATATTTATAGCTTCTTTGACAGGTCTATAAATGATATAGTATCGGTTTTCACAAGTTAAAATAGAAGATGAAATTTGCAACCATAAGCCTACTATATATCTTTATTACTTAGCAAATTATACTCGAAACCGTCACCTTAATGCATTTGTAAGGCAAATTATTTTGAGAAGAATGGGTAATTCTAAAGATCGCGATTTGTAAATAAATATTCGTAGATACACATTTATCATTTACAATAAGTATTATTTATTTCAAATATCTTAGATCGAGATAACCTGCAAGAGCTAAACATGTACGTACGCAAACCATGAAATTTATGCTATCCAATTACGCAAAAGCTGCCTAAACGTGTATTTTATGCTTCACTATACTTTTAAGCAAAACGCACATCCCCTATGTCGCATTTCACGGGTCTCTTATATTAATATAATAAATTTTATATGTTTTAGTGTATGATCATTTACTTGATATGAATTTTTATTAGAGTAGTCAATAGAGTTTATTGTTAATTAAGTATATATAGCATCATCATCATATCAGCCAGAAGACGTCCCCTGCTGAACATAGACCTCCCCCAAAGATTGCCAGACTAACCGGTCGGACGCAACGTGCACCCACCGCCCTTACCAGGTCATCCTTCCATCTAGTAGGGGGGCGTCCCATTGAATGCCTTCCGGTTCGCGGTCTTCATTCGAGAACCTTCCTGCCCCAACGGGCAGAAAGTTCTACAAGCGATGTGCCCTGGCCACTGCCACTTCAACTTGCTAATCCTTTGAGCTCTCATAAAGTCTCTTATATAGTTAAGTATATAAAATTAATAATTAAAATGCAATACCCTAACAGGGTCCATGTTTATACGAGATACCATTATCTGTACTCACGATACAATAAATATACATTAGAATAATAATATTATGTATACATTATGATTTATTAGATTTTAATGCCGACTCAGGATCCAACTTTCTTCTCAATTATTCAAAGATTAGCTAGAAGAAATCCCTTTATGGGATAAGCTCGTCTTTCTTCAATAACCTTCCGTTACTTTGTTAAAAAATTTGTAATTTGTTATGTTGTGCAATAAAGTGTTTACATGCATACATACACTTCACACATCATGCACATTTTGATGTAGTAGACACGGTGCCTAAGGAGGTTTGCTATTAAACTTCCTTAATGACAGAAAATATGCGGTGTTCTTTTGGATATGAGCAAGACTTATGACAGAGTGTCTTACAAAATATTGTTACAAAAGCTTTATGGCATTGATGTGAGAGGAACGGCTTATGAACGGTTTAAGTCATATCTTACGGGTCGCGTTCAGTACGTTGAGGTTGAATACCATAACCCCAACTCTGGTATCATATCTAATGTGAGATCACATGTGGTTAACGTGACCTAATCCATACCACAGGGAAGCGTGTTTGGATGCATATTGTTTCTAATATACATTAATGATCTACCCAAAGCTCTAAACTGAGCAAGGATTTTATTTGCGGATGACCTGTCGGTGGTCTTTTCATGTACAGATGGAAAAAAAAAATTTTTTTTATGATATACTCTGTAATGTAAATAGCTGGCCTAAGGATCACAATTTAATTATCAATTATACAAAAACAAAATTAATACATTTTAGACCACATCAAGAGACTCCACTGAAACAAATAGAAAAGTTCGTAAGGCGGACCGTTCGTTCTGTGGCATAGCGTCTGCCACGGATTGCTGGAAGACGTTGGTTCAAATCCAGCCGGATCGAAGTATTTTTTTTCTTAGTGTTCGATCTTTGTACCTGTTAATAATTATAACAAACTAGTGGAGTAATTTCACAAAAATAATTGAATATCATGGTGGTCAAACATGGTGACATTCAAAGGAGTTTCAATATAATTATCACAATTTTTCGTTTATCAAATGTAGTATGCTGGGAATACATTTGATTCCATATCATACTCTAAAAGTTCTTAATCGTTTATAATAATCGTTCGTAATTAGAAATACTTATGGCAATTACTGTATTTCCTTCACGTAACTTCATTCGAAGGCCAGTTGTAATAGTACACTATTACGACTGGCCAATACGATATCTATATAAGTTTTCATTTCCGATATTCATAAGTAATTAATGTATGTATCTACATACAATAATTATAACATTATACAATTATATGTATTTTCACTGTGAAACAAGTGAAAATAATTCTATTTTTTGTTACATCAAGACGAAAAATACAAGGGCTACAATTACTACCGGTTGGGTCTCAGATGTCCAAGCAAACAACACGTTATGCTCTGGTCACATAGAGGCGGGAGCGTTCCGGATGCTGGAATTTTTGAAATGGTCGAGAACCCTGCCACATTGAAACCAAGTGGCGGGCGAGGCGGTGAGGCGGTCCGGAACCGAACGCTGTGACAAACAGGCGGACTGGGCGCGAGACGAGCTCGGGTGTTGTATTCCATATACCATAAAGTTCTATACAATCGGCCACACTGTGGACCACACAGAGCAGAGAGTCAGAAAGCGGATCGTTAGTAGGACTTTAGTGGGATTGGACGTTGTTTTTTACAACTGTTGAGTATGTTTTGATTAACTATCCACATGAATTCGACGGATAAATTTATACACATGTTTAGTACGATCATTTCCATGTCAATAATGATACACATAATAGAGATTTTAAAAACAGTTCGACAGTGCGCA